GAAAAGAAACATTTTACTTATAACACATCAAAAAAGAATAAAATGCTTAGGAATAAATTTGACAGGAAAAGTGTAAGATTGTACATTGAAGACTACAAAACTTCATCACACATATACAAAAATTAACCCAAGACCTAATATAAGACCTAAATATAAGAACTAAAACTCTTAGAAGAAGACATAAATGTAAGTCTCTATGACATTGGATTAGGCAATTATTTTTTGATATGACATCCATAGCACAAGCAGCAAAAGAAAAAATAGGTAAGTTATACTTCATGAAAATTTAACACTTTTGTACTTCAAAGATACCATCAAAGAAGTGAAAAATCAGCCCATAGTACAGGAGAAAATTTTAAAAAATTTTATGTCTGATAAGGCATTTCTATCTAGAACATATAAAGTACAACTCAACAATAAAAAGACAAATAACCTAATTGAATAATGGGCAAATGATCTGAACAGGTAGTCCTCTAAAGAAGATCTACAAATGGCCAATAAGTACATGAAAAGTTGCTCAGTATCATCAGTCATTAGGGAAATGCAAATCAAAACAACAGTGAGATGCCATACCACCTCACACCCACCCACTAGGATGGCTATATTCAAAAAGCTGGACAATAGTAAGTATTGATGAAGACACAGAGAAATTGGAACCCTTGTATATTGCTTGTAGGAATGTAAAATGGTGGAGGCAGTTTGGAAAATAATATGGAAGTTCCTCAGAAGGTTAAATGTAGCATATGACCTAGCAATCCACTCCTAGGTATATACTAAGAGAAAGAAAAACATACTTCGACACAAAAACTTATACATGAATGTTCATATAGCATCATTCATAATAGCCCAAAGATAGAAACTACCCAGAAATTCATTAACTGATGAATGGATAAACAAAATGGGGACTCTGCATACAATGAATACTTTTCAGTAATAAAAAGGAATGAAGTGGGGCCAGCCGAGTGGCTCAGTTGGTTAAGAGTTGGCTTGGGAGCACGAGCTCTGAGCAACAGGGCTGCCAGGTTCGGTTCCCACATGGGCCAGTGATGCTGCACCCTCTACAGCTAAGATGGTGAACAATAGTTCAACCTGGAGCTGGGCTACCGTGAGAGGATGGCAACGGCGTACGCTACAGTGGGGCTGCAGTGGGCTGCTGTGAGCTACCTTGAGTGGGCAGCAGCCAGCATGAGCGGGCGGCAGCTGGCGAGAACTGCCATGAGCCACCATGAGCCGCCGTCAGTGGCTGTCCAAAGGCCGGGGACCGACTGCCTCAGCCGGGAAGAGCACAATGATCATAATACCAACATGAGGCAGTGAAGCGACGTCCTCCACAACTAGACTGAAGAACCAAAAGACAGCAACTTGTCTGTTCCCCTTCCCCGATTCCCCAACGCTATTCCCCTCCCCCAATTCCCCAATAAAATCTTTAAAAAAAAGAATGAAGTACTGATACATACTACAACATGAAATGAACCCTGAACATTACGCTAGTGAAAGAAGCCAGACACAAAAGACCACATGTAGAGGGTGCCAAAAAAATGTATACACATTTTAAGCAAGGAAAAAACTATTAAAATGGTAATACTCAATATATACCCATAACAAAAGATGAATACAAGTTGTGTATACATTTTTTGGCACCCTCCGTATTGTATGATTCCTTTTATATGAAATGTCCAGAATAAATTTATAGAGACAGAAAGTAGATGAGTGGTTGCCAGGTGCTGGGGAATGGGGGAATGAGGAGTGACTGCTTATAAGTATGAGGTTTCTTTTTGGGGTGATAAAAATGTTCTGGAATTAGATAGTGGTGATGGGTGCACAACCCTGTGAACATACTAAAAAAACAACTGAATTGTATATTTAAAAGTGAACTTTGTGATATGTGAATTATATAGCTCAATACAGCTGTTATTAAACAAGTAAATTTATAAGAGAGAGAGAGAGAGAGAGAGAGAGATCTGACATGCAAGCAGGGCTTGGAAACTGGGCTGGGGATCCAAAGGATCCTCATAGGCAGCTCTGGGGGAAGGGCTCTGATTGACATTCTAGACCCTGCATTATAGCCCAGTCTGTGTTCCTGACTTACTTTGAACTCTTCAACAAGGATCTGGGCCTCTCTGCCTGCCTAACTGAATTGTGTAGTAGCAGACTGGAGACATTGTAAATGCCCATCAGTAGGGGATGTATACACATCCATAAAATGCAATAATGTATAGCTTTTTATTTATTTATTTATTTAT